ATTTCAGCTCAGGTCTTGATCTCAGGGTTGTAGGTTCAAGCCCCATGTCAGGATCCATGCTGAGTGGTGGAGTGTGGAGGCTGCTTAAGATTGTCTCTTCTCCCTCTGCCCTTCCCACTCATGCTCTCTCTCTTTAGAAAAAGAAAAGAAGGGCGTTTGGGTGGCTCAGCTGGTTAAGCACCTGCCTTTGGCTCAGGTCATGAGTCCCACATCAGGCTCCGGGCTCAGCAGGGAGTCTGCTTCTCCCTCTGACCCTTTCATGCTTTCTCTCTTTCTCTCTCTCAAATAAATAAAATCTTTTAAAAAATTTAAAAAAAGGAAAGAAAAGAACTGTAAAATCCACCTTGCCTATCCTGCTTACGTTCTCATACTACATTCCTTCAACCCACCATAAAATCTTAATCATCCCGACAGAGACGTTCTACTTTCCAGCATCACTGCAAAATTAGATGTCACCTAATTTCGCACCAAATGGGTAAAATAACTGTGTTGTATGTAGGTGTAACATAACTAGTGCAGAAATCCTTTTTGAACTTTTCAAGGGAATATTTTTGGGACAAGGGATTCAAAATGTTAAAGTAATTTCTTAGGGCAATGATTATAATCAATTTTTTTAAGATTTATTTATTTGAGAGCGAGAGAGAGAGAGAGAGACAAAGATAACAAGAGAGCACAAGGGAGGAGAGGGAGAAGGAGACTCCCTCTAAGCAGGGAGCGCGACACTGGGCTTGATCTCAGGACCCTGAGATCATGACCTGAGCGGAAGGCAGACGCTTAACCAACTGAGGCACCCAGGCGCCCCTATAATCAACTTCTGTTAGAACAGTCAAGACATTTCTCATTGTAGGTGACAAATGGTGGGCATCATCTCATCAATGTACTGAGTGCCTATTAAGTGCCAAACACATAGCTTGGTTACACATGGGCTTAAAGTTTTAAAGCTAAGTTTATCTTATGGGATACACTACAGAGAAATGCAAAATCATTTGGAAAGATTTCAGCAAACATTAGACAACTTTCACTAGAAACAGTAATTGTTAAATGATGAAAACCTGCAAAAGGTTATTTTGCAGTTATTCTTTATAGAATACTACACCTTATTCCCAACAACAAAGCACTGCTAAATTATAGACTACCAATAGAACATAGAAATTATTTTTCTTTGTTATAGAGGAGACTAATAAATAGTACAAAATTCATATTAAAGTTAACTCTGGTTAATTACATTTTTGGCCAATTTTTTGGAAAGTTTACACATCAATAACACTGCAATGCAAAATATTTACAGGTCCACAGAACTGAGGCAGCTCAAAAAACCGTATAGTGGAAAACGCCCAGATCTGATTTCAAACTCAAGATTTACAGTGTAACCATGAACAGTCTACCTAACAGTCCTAAACATAGTTTCCTGATCTGTCAAATGGAAATAACAACACCCACCTTATTGGACTATAAAATAAGGTAGACAGAGTACCAAGTACAATAATTGACATATAGCAAATGTTCAATAACTGTTATTTGTACTCTCTTCTAGAAAGTGAAGTCATATCTTCTCAACTTTATGTCCTCCGATATAGGATAGATTTTGTAGATACCCAATAAATGTTTCTTGAAATGAATCCCTGTAATTTAAGGCTAACTACCTCAACCTTCCACTTGAGCAAGTCACCTCTACTTAAATTCTGCTGAGAATGGAATTTAAGATTCCTGGCCTAATACTTTATCAGGCATTTTGATGAATATAAATCACTGATACTCAACAAGGTAACTTTATTTTAGTATGGTATTCAATATCTGAATCTGCAGTCTACCAAATTACTGTTGTAGCCAATATTTTCATTTTGAGATTCTTTAGTTTTCATTAATCCAGTTTCCTTAAAAATAAACTTTAATTTCTTTGGCCCTTGGGGCGCCTGGGTGGCTCAGTCATTAATTTCTTTGGCCCCACAAAAGAAATATCTCACTAGGTTTCCACTTCAAATAAAAAATAAAGAGAACAGGATAAAACTAGTTATAAAAGATAAAAATTAGAAATTGCCAATTAAGTTTATATTTTTAACAGCCTATTTTTATTTTTACTACAGCAAACATTCCTTATACATTGAGGCCTCTAGCCATCAAAGTTTGTGTGTACTTTATTAGTGATTCCTTGTTGAATAAGCCTCCTAAATTTCTAGCAAGAGTTAGAAACATTACTCCATAGAAATATTACAGTAAATAACAAGGCAAAACATTATGGTTTCAGATTTTGTTTTGTCTTTCCACAACTGAAGGTTATTAATAAGCCAATTCCAACTCAAGTAGTAAAGTATTTCAAATTTTGCAATATAATTTGAAAAAGTTTTAAAATGTTGGATATGCAGGAGCGCCTGAGTGGCTCAGTCAGTTAAGTGTCTGCTTTTGGCTCAGGTCATGATCCCAGCGTCCTGGGATCAAGCCTGGTGTGGGGCTCCCTGCTCAGTGGGGAGTCTGCTTTTCCCTCCCCCTGCTCTTGTGCTCTTGCTCTCTCTCTCTTTCTCCCTCTCAAATAAATAAATAAGTAAAATCTTGTTTTTAAATGCTGGATATACAATGTTTCTAAAAATAAGTATCAATTTCATTAAAAGTAGGTTGTAACATGTAACTTTCAGTTCAAGTATTCCTGAGACAAGATAGGGCAAAGTAATAGTTTTTAACTACTAAACACCAGTTTTAAAGTTTGCTACATAATTATTTAAATACTTAAAATCAGTTAAGTCAGAGAAGCATTAAGAACTACATATTAATTTCTCAATTTAAACAAATTCAAACAACGTAAGTGCTTTTTAAAAACTGGTTCTCTGAACAAGTTTGAGAAATATTTGGTTACTATATACTAGTTCCATGACCCAATATAACAGTAAAAGATTTGAACAGATGGATAAACTTGGTGAGCAAATTTTATCACCATTTATCTTAAGTGCTGATGTAATGTTCTCAACTAATTTAATATACATGATAAAGTCCAAATGCAATAGCTTTTATTAAAACTGGGAGTCAAACACACCAAGAAAAATGTCCTGGATATACTTGTCAACTTACAAGGTAACACTTAATAAAAATCATTCTTTTTCTGGAAGGGGTTATACTTTTTTTTAAAAGAAATCTAACTTTAGATTAGTGTTCCCTTACTTTGATCCCATTTTTTAAAGTCATGTTTACAATTTGTTATCTCTTTGACTTGCTTACTTCTTATGGTCAAAATTGATCTTATTAAAAGTCCCTAAGTGTTTTAATACATATGAAAATATATTTCCAGGTCCAGTGCCAAAATGAGTGTCTTTTATGACAATTTTCCATAAAATACAAATAAGGATGCCAAGTACTTTAAATTCTGAAGCCACTCCATTCATAGAAAAATGCTCCTGCCCATTTTTACGGATTTTTCTCAGAACCAAAGTATGCTTTTCATATTTCAAGACTAGGCAGTGGAAAGCATTTCCAATGTGCCTCAAACAAACCTCATTTTAAAAGCTCATGTAAATTAATAAAACAATAAATTCCATTCATTTAGCAAATGTGGTATGCTGTAAGACCTTATAAAAGGCTAAGAGTAATTAGACTACTATATGGCAACACATTCAATGACATAAATTCAAAGCTGATTCAAAGGATTCCGAGTTAGCAACCCTGCATTGTTATACCTTGTTGAAATCTCTACTTTTGTTCACTAAATATCAAATATTGTAACAGTGCCTTCAAGCTTACATCTAACTGCACAATAAACCGAACTTATAAAGGAATCTATCGAAAAATATATTTAAACAGCAAAATAATTAGAAGCAGTTGCAGTACTTAATTCTGGCATCATCAAGAATCAACTCTTCAGTGTCCAGATTCAGTCTTTTAAAAAAAATTAACTGTAATGCACAAAAATGTTTTTTTCTTGTCTTAATTCCTATCTCCAATATCCGAATAGCTAGAAGTCGTCTACAGTAAAACACATCAAAATAAATATGTCAAAAAACAAGCATAAAATTTTAATCCAGATGTGAACATCTCTGCACACCCCAAAGTAATAAAAAATAAACTCAACGTAGGTACCCTTGCAGAGCATAGACTTAAGGGCAAAAATCGTGCCTACATCATTAACTATTTAGCCGTAAATGGAAAACAATACTATTACTACTCGACATAGACTCAACTAATCAAGGCACCTAATTTGTTCTCATCTTCTGCAGGCATGTGGTGCCCAACATTCTCCCTCAGTCTACTGCTTGCTCATTTGTAAACAACTTCTGCAGCTCTTTATCTGGTGTTCAAACGGAGGCAAAAAGAAAGTCTGAAAAGCATCAGCATCTGAGTTTCCGGATCTGAGCAGGGAGTAGTAAAGAAGAGGATCATATAGCTATCATCTGGTTAAAGAGAGAGAGAGACATCAGAAAAGGTAGCCCTCATATCAGAGGAAAGAAATTCAGTCACCTGAAAAGGGCTAGTGAAGTGAAGCAAGCATTTGGTATGACACGCTTCAAGAAAGAAAAAAAAAAGAAAAAACTTGTCTGGGGGCTGGAAGTTATGGGGGCGCTCTTTGTGCGGAGTCGGAGGAGAAGGGGAGGGACGAGAAAACAGCTTGGGAGTCATTCAAAGGAGTTTAAGGAGCGGTGTACGAGGGAAAGGCGGGGCGGGGCCTGGCCTGGAGGAGGGAGGGGGCTACAGGGGCGTCCGCGGGCCGCTCTGACACCAGGGAGGGGGCGGTGAGCTGGCCGCTCCAGGGACCGGGTGGGAGCGGACTGCAGGCAGACGACAGAGATGGGGTCCCTCTGGTAGGCAGAGTCAAATTAAAGTGGTGGCAGGCCAGAGCTCTGGCGGGGAAAGAGAGTCCGGCTCCCGAAGGAAGCGGCTCCCGAGTGACATCCCGGAGTTTCCGCACTTAGCGGGCTAGGGGAGCGGCGGCCCTACGGCTTCCCTGGGCCCCCGACCCCACGCCAGACCTTCTCCCTCTCTCTTTCGCCAGCGCCTCCCGCCCGGGCCGCGGCCCTTACCTGCAACTCCGTGAGCAGAATCTCCCCCCGTTCGGGGTTGGACGCCATTGCGCTCCGCTTTGGACTCCGCACCTGGCCGCGGCCGCCGCTGGCGAAGGGAGAAGGCGGGACCGGACCCGGGGTGGGGGGTGAGGAGCGGGGAAAGAAAGAAAAAAGAAAAAAAAAAAACTAGGGATTCATGGAGGCGCAGCCCCTGCTGGAGGCGCGGCTTATTTCGCCCGGTTCATGGAGAGCGGCGGGGAGCGAGGGCACTCGTAGCCGGCTCCCCCTAGCCGCCCGCCCGCCCGCCGCTGCCGCCGCCGCCGCCCGCACCAGATTCTGTTTGCTCAGTCGCTCCCTCTGGGCGACGCCGGGAGCCGCCTCAAGCTTCTCGGTGCGGGGCGCTGCGGCCGCAGCTGCAGCTCCTCCTGTCGCACCATTTGGCTGTCACTGCGTCGCAAAAGCGGCCTCACTTGGCGGCTGCCAGAACACGTGACGGCCGTGGCCGCTACCTCCAGTAGCGAGGGGGAGGTGGGGCGGAGAGGACCCCGAGGGCGGGAGCCGCGCAGGGGGTGGGGCGGCTTTCGACCCGGCTCCGCGGCGGGGGCAGCCGTTGGACCCCGCCGGGGTGAAAATGAGGGAAAGGACTGGACTGGCGTCTCTTGGGAGGCGGGAAGAGGAAGAAAAAACACACGCCCGCTTTTCTGCTGCGTTTAACGGCCCCACCGTGAACACTAATACTCGGGAGCTTACTCTTGTGTTTTTTTCCCCTAGCGCCACTTATCTTGTCGAAGTTTAGGCCTAACGTAAACGAGCTCCATTTTAACCTCCACAACCTAAAGAGTTTCGGGGCTCAAATTTTATAGATTATTCCCCTACCCCCCATGGACCCAAGCTGTTAATCTTGCCTTTTGCTCCCTCCCACTCCCATCGCGCCATTCCGACCAGTAAGGTGCACAGCTGGCTAGACTGGGGTGTGGTCTGTACTTTTCAAGAAATGAAAGCGCTTGGGATCTCTGGCAGTCAGCTTTTAAGATGCCTTTTCCCAAGCACTGAGCAGCTATGGTTGGGGCTGTAGAACTGCACTGAGTTTAGAATCTGATTAACTAGGTCTTGGATTGTTTTAACTGAAAGTAAACTGGAGGTCGGGCGGATTAGCCCCGCGAATGGAAAAAAAAAAAAAAAAGCCAACTTTTCTTGATGTAGTAAACATCCAAGCTAACCTATTAGTGACATATAGCTAAGTAGTGTAAGTTTTAGGTTTAAGAAAATGACATTGTAGTATTCGGGAATGTCAATAAAGTCACCAACAGGTAGCTTTTGTTTTGTCTTAGCAGTGAATGGGTATTTCAGGCAGCTGCTTAACTTTAGATTGAGGCTGGAATACAATGTCTTTGTTAAAAGGTACTTGGAGAAAGTGTTAGGGGGTTATTTAGATAGCTACTTGAAAAGCTTAATTGGCATATTTCTTAAGAAATACAATATGTACTTCTCTTACACTCCATGTGAAATAGGTCTGTTGGGTGATGCTAGGACTTATATTTCTCTTTTTGTCTTCTCAAGTCTCCTGCATTAACTTGACAAACATTTATTAAAGATCTAGAGTTTTATGACCACTATGAGTTTCTGAACTCAACTCATAATATGTGATAAGGAATTTTTCTGCCCTGTATTTTAAATGTTTGCAACATATATGTTTAATGCATTGCTTTGATTGAAATGATAATTAAAATATATGCAATAGCAACACTTGGAAAAGCCAGCACATAATTGCCCATCCTGGTAACTAAGAGCCAGACAGTGTCATAGGCCCTGGAGTTACAGCTGCGATTAAGAGAGTCCTTGTCCCTGGAGTGACTGAGTCTTTTGGAGAAAGAGTTGTGTCCAAATAAATATGATGCAATTTTTATTTTTTTTAAAGATTTTATTTATTTATTTGAGAGACAGAGAGAGAGAAACAGCATGAGAGGGGAGAGGGTCAGAGGGAGAAGCAGGGTCCCCGCTGAGCCGGGAGCCTCATGTGGGACTCGATCCCAGGACTCCGGGCAGTTGCTTAACCAACTGAGCCACCCAGGCGCCCATGATGCAATTTTTAAAGAGTGGGCACAAAATGTTAGGGAAGCACTGCATTCAGATTTGTATAGACATATATAACGTGTGTGTGTGATAAAATATACATAAAATTTACCATTTGAACAATTTTAAAGGTACAATTCTATGGCATTAAATGCATGCAGATATATTTTGCTAATTTTTGCCTTGCCTTACTCTTGAATGGATTTGACATGGCTGACATGCACATAGTTGGTGCTTAATGACAGAATTAAAAATTACCTATGTAAAGGGGCTCCTGACTGGCATAGTTTGTAGAGCATGTGACTCTTGATTCTAGGGTTGTAGGTTTGAGGCCCATGTTGGGTATAGAGATTACTTAAAAATAAAATCTTTTTAGGGCGCCTGGGTGGCTCAGTTGGTTAAGCAACTGCCTTCAGCTCAGGTCATGATCCTGGAGTCCCAGAATCGAGTCCCACATCGGGCTCCCTGCGCAGCAAGGAGTCTGCTTCTCCCTCTGACCCTCTTCCCTCTTGTGCTCTCTCTCAAATAAATAAATAAAATGTTTAATAAATAAAATAAAATCTTTTTAAAAATTTACCAATGTAAGGACTTAGAAACATAGTCAAAGAGCATTCTTTTAAAAATTAAATTCAGATATAAGAAAATGTTGATATTTTAGCACCAGGGAATTTTTTTTAACTAGAATAAACTTAAAATGTCTAGCATAACTCTTAATACAGGTAAAAGAAAATAGGCCATAATTTACTTAATAAGGAGCATGACAACAGTATTACTTAGTGGCAGAGATGGAGAATGAACCTAAATCTAATTGCTTGGCCCAGCCTTGTTTTAACCTACACCATGCTACTATACTTTAAAATAGAATCCTCATGGGATGCCTGTGTGGCTCAACCGGTTAAGGGTCTGCCTTTTGCTCAGGTCATGATCCCAGGGTCGTGGGCTCCCTGCTCAGCTTCTCCCTCTGCCTGCTGCTCCCCCTGCTTGACTCTCTCTGTCTGAAAAATAAATAAAATCAAAAATATAAAAATTAAAAACAAAACTTATTAAAAAATAAAATAGAATCCTCATTTAAACTGAACTCAAAGCATTATAGTCCCTCATTTTTTTAACCACAGAAAAAGACCTCAAACTTTACATATTTCTAGAGCTCAAACAGTTTTAATTTGATATATCATGTGTGAATGTAAGTAACTAATATAAAAAGTTTTTAAAGCTATGGGAATTATTTCTGATTAGGTATAGTGGGGAAAGTAGTGCATACAAAAGGGAGGCCAAGACAATATAAAAACTGCATGACAATCTGGAAAATGTAACAGTTTAAACAATAAATTAGTTTAATTTAAGCTAAAAACTACAAACCAACTCACAGTCTCTGTTTAGGAAAAAAAAAATGTGGGGCGCCTGGGTGGCTCAGTCATTAATCATCTGCCTTTGGCTCAGGTCATGATCCCAGGGTCCTGGGATCGACGAGCCCCGCGTTGGGCTCCCTGCTCCGCAGGGAAGCCTGCTTCTCCCTCTCCCGCTCCCCCTGCTTGTGTTCCCTCTCTCGCTGTCAAATAAATAAATATTTGTCAAATAAATAAGTAAATCTCTGTCAAATAAATAAAATCTTTAAAAAAATTTAAAAAAGAAAAAAATGTGATAGGACATGGGACATACTTACCAGAATGAAACACACTTGAAAAAGTTTTAATGGAAACTCATGGTGATTTAGATGAATTGTATTCAGTCCCCATCTACAAATGTTTTTAGGGAATCCTACCTAAATGTTACCTCCAGTTATGTTCTAATTTATATTAACAATAAAAAAGAGGAAAGCTTTATTGTTGCTGCTGTTCTTGTTTTAAACGACTGTCCATGTAAGAAACTAAAGACCAAAAAATAACTGGATTGTATCACTAGTTAGGCAGGTGCCTTTAAAAATATTTCATAAATGTTTAAAGGTCTTTAAGAAATAGAAATGACCAGGATGCCTGGCTGGCTCAGTCGGTAGAGCATGTGACTCTTGATCTCGGGGTTGTGGGTTCAAGCCTGATGTCGGATGTAGAGCTTACTTAAAATCTTTTTTTAAAAAAGGTAGAAAGGACCAAACATATAGAAATAGTTTCAGTTAACAAGAATTAGATAGAAAATGTTATTTTCTGTTTTCCTTTTTTTTTTTTTAAGATTTTTATTTATGTATGTGAGAGAGAGCACAAGCAGGGGTGGGGGAGGGGCAGGGCGGAGAGAGAAGGAGAAGCAGACTCCTCGCGGAGCTGGGAGCCTGACTTGAGGCTTCATCCCCAGGACCCTGAGATCAGGGCCTGAGCCTAAGGCAGACACTTAACTGGCACCCCTGTTTTCCTTTTTAAGTTGGAAGACATGTTACAGGAAAAATCCTAGTAGAGCTGAACTTTATTTTTTTGTCATTGTTATTTTCTGTGCTGTTGGGGTGAAACATTCAGATATTCTGATAAGGCACCTCTTTTTCCCTTTGATCCTAAATGAAATGAGATAAGAACTATATATCCAGGGAAGGAGTTAGAAACCTTTTCTTTGTGAGCCACAGTTTTTTATGGTCTTGTATTTTTCATTTCTCTTTTGCTCTTCCTTAATATTTATTAAAATGTTTTTGAAAATTCTGGCTTATCTATCCCAACAGCATTATGGAGAATCAAGGAAAGGGTTTTTTTGTTTGTTTGTTTGGTTGGTTTTGGTTTTGTTATTGTTTTTCCAATGTTAACGTTGATAGAAAAGGAGAAGAGTAACCCCCTGCTCCCAAGGGATCAAAGTGAAGTAGCAGTGGTAATCAAAGTGACAGAATCCCAAAGGAGAGACAAAACTCAGAAAGAGTCAGAACTACTTGGTCACCATCCTGTTCCTTAAGGAACCCCCTGTAGAGATTGTTCCCTTGTATGGATGAGAATAATTTTGAGAACAAGATTGTTAAAGTCAAGGTCACAGTAGAGTCAGCTATAGTGACTGTAGCAGATAGTTTTGAGGGTGTCTGCTCAAATCCTTTTCCCTTCTCTGGGAA